CTTCCGCAGCGTGCCTAACGCCCTGATTCTTCTATTTAGAATGAGTTGTGGTGAAGGCTGGAACCAGGTCATGGAAGATTATGCGACTATCGAGCCGCCGCTTTGCGTTGACAACGCCGACTTCTTTAACAGCGATTGCGGTAGCAAACCCTGGGCTCGTTTCCTCTTCGTTGCATGGAACATTCTGAGCATGTATATCTTTGTCAACCTTTTCGTTTCTCTCATCTATGAGAGCTTTAGTTACGTATACCAACGGTCTAGCGGATTGGCTGCGGTAGACCGTGATGAGATCCGGCGCTTCAAGGAGGCGTGGCGGAGCGTCGATCCTGCCGGGACCGGCTTCATCAGCAAGGATGCATTCCCCCGACTTCTAGGAGAGCTTTCTGGAGTGTTTGAAATGCGCATCTATGATGCCGACGATTCGGTCAGGCAGATCCTAGAGGATGTTCGCAACGATGCCTCGACATCTGGAGCACGCCACATGTCTATAGCTTCTGCGAGTAACTACAGTGCGGGCATTGACATCCAACGACTCAATCGGAGACTCGCACAGATTGACGTTGTCAAGGTTCGCGAGCGTCGCCGTCGGTTCAACATCTTTTTCGAGGAAGTCATGGTCTCTGCGGACCCCGACAAAGGCATTTCGTTCACTTCTGTGCTCATGATTCTGGCCCACTATAACATCATCAATGACAGCAAGAGTTTGAAGTAGGTACTTCCTCATCGACCATAGTCACTGATCAGACTAACAATTCTGCAGATTGGAAGAATTCTTGCGAAGGCGTGCTCGGCTACAGAGAGTGGAAGAGGAGGTGCGGCGCAGGGTCGTTCTTGGCTTCTTTGACACATTGTGAGTTTCCTCGATGACTACGGACTATAGAGTCCCATGACTAATGACATCATCTCCAGGTACTGGACTCGCAAGTTCAAGAAGCACATTGACATGAGAAAGTCGGCGAGGATGACTGCTATTCCCCAGCTCGACATCCCTCACATTCTTGTTGACGATGATGATACACGCCACAAGTCCTCGCCGGTGGCCGGAACCGGACAAACGAGGTCAGCATTGCTGACAGTGGAAGACGCTCACAAATCGGTACACAATAGCTGGTCTGGACCAGGGCCGACAGATACGTCGGACGGCGACTACCAGCACCCGCTCAGCTTCCCGAGATCTGGGCCTACAACGCCGAGCCACCAATCGACGCATTCTGCTTTCAGCTTTGAATTGCAAGAAGGAGGCCAGACTTCAGCTCAGAGCAGTAGAAGGGGAAGTGCTGTCACACCACAGAGCCCTGTCAGCCCCGCACAAGTTAGCAACATGCTGGATGACTCTATTTGGCTTGAGAGTATTCGGAGAACTGCAACAGTACGGAAATCGGTCCGAAAATCCGATTGGAGTAGATAGATGCACCAGAAAGTGGTGCGTGGTGGATTTTGTTCCTTCAGCGACGGCGTTTAGGTTTGAGATGAAGACGTGTCATCGATTCTGGGCGTAGCTCCTAGACCATTTCTAAGCCACGAGAGGCATGAGCACCATGAACTTTTCGATTTTTATGTTTGATAGAAAGATAGACGAAGCAACTTGCTCATGGCTTTGGTTGATACTTGCAGCATGATGACAGTTATGATCAAGCAAGGGCTTCGTAGATTGCACGTAGGGTAGTGTAGCTAATGCGGAGGATATCATGAACACGTATTTCGTGTGAAGAAAAGTGAGCACCCGTATTGTCAATCTCGCTGTCCCAGTGTCATACACAAATCCTACGATCATTCTCGACTCTCGTTAGCGAAGACGGTCGATGTTAATCTAAGACATGTCTCCGATGCACAGTCATAGTTGACTGCACTCGGGCCAGACGGATTAATGCCCCGCTTTGACGTTGTGACCAGACTTGGACGCTTAGAAAGAAGAGACCAGTTTTTCGTTCATCTGAAGACGATGATCGCAAAGTCCATCGCAAAGGGCGATTTATTCCCAGCGACGACAGTGACGGGAACGGCATGACGTGACTGCAAATATCAAGCTTACCAACTCGTACCATCTTTTGCTAGTGTAGCAGAGGACCCTTTAAGATTGAAAGCTTCTCCATGCATTGAGAGGTTTGCTCCCGTTCGTACACTTTCTCGTGATTCTTTCGTCTCGGGTTTAGACATCAAAACAGTAACGTTTGCTTGGCAGGCGTCAAAGAGAGGTTAAACTTCTTGCGCATGAACAGAGCATCAGAACGATGTGGATTTCCTTCTCCGGAATTACGAATCCTTGCCCATCCCTTCTCCCAGGATTGAAGAATCCGAGGGCTGAAGCTGTATGTTTTCTCGAGCATCTTATAGAAGGATTCTAGAAAGTTTCCATCCTCGATGCCTTTGCACCCTGCTCCAAAAATGCCCTGAACAAACGAGTGCGCTCTCTAGCGAAAAAGATTGAATAAAAGAAGCTGGCCAGTATCAAGCCATCACTTTCAGTATATATAATACGGGATTACGAGCCGTCAACAGTGAATGGATTTGGCTCTTGGCGGAATGACGGATAAATTGAGTTGCAACAGTGCCAAGAACGCCGCTTTTGACATTGAGGAATGCCTCTTGGCTTCGATACCTGGCCCTAAATTCAGTAATCTTGTGTCTTGGGCCTTGCCTTGAAAGCCGGCAGTAAAAAGATCAGACGGGACGACATAGAAAAGAAGCTTCATCAACCGTCACCCATCGGGGTCGAACATGGTTCCGGGGGTAGGCCTCGGGGAATTGATAAAGTCCTAGTGTAAAGACGGGTCTGAGTCTCGTATTTCGTGACTTTCATGTCTCGTCTCGTCCGGTGTAGGCCCTGGTCTGGTCTGGTCTTGTCCGTGTCTCGTCGTCGCTTGGCACTTCCTCGTTTCATCTTCGCGAATGTTTCAATATGCCCCTCCTCTCCTACTTTGTCCGTCCTGGGCGCACAACTGGCTGTCTACTTTCTGACGGGGAGATCGGGGGCCATCGACAAGATTGAGAGAGATTTTTCGTTTGTTGCACGCTTTCACTGCTTGTAGTATTATCCGGACTCTCACTCGACACTCGTCTACACAGACGTGGGCACGATTTGCAACGATAGGGTATGGACAGGACAGGGGTATGGTGAGGGGATACCCAGGGGTGGCCTTGTTTCCAGTGTTAGTGAGCCCATGTCCCATCACGTTATTCCTCCCCTCTCCTAGCTTTTAATCATGAGATCGACGGATGCCCCCCGAAAGAGAGGACACTTGGACATCTGTTTTGCCGGAGGATCAGTTAGGAGATGTGACAGCAAAGCGATTAGGAGAGTGAAGATCCTGGATTTGGAGAGTTTGATGCGTGTGATGGCGTTTGTGATTCGGGTATAACTTCAAAGGAACGGACGAGCTTCCTGTTTAGTACTCAGAACAACAACACGAGGTTTGAGATGAAGAACCGACAGGAATATGACCTCTTTGATGTTACCTGTCCGCCGTACAGTGCCCTGATGGAACATGTTCTCTGTAATTAGCTTCAACACCACACCCACTACGGGTATCGGCAGTCCCTTTTTTTTTTTTTTTTTTTTTTTTTTTCACCTGTGTCATTTACGATGCAATGGGAAGACCATATAGATAGACTGCCACAGTCTCCCCTAGATTGATATGCCCTTTTTAGCATATAATATCGTGGGCTTATATGAGTAAGTCTCCGGGCAGGCCCAAGAATATTCGTGGCAGAGCATCGCCACAGTGGCTCAGAGAGTTCTTCCAGAAGGCTTCGACACCCACATCACGGGCTTTCCGCCGCGTTGGCAACAGCCATCCTCGTCAAGGGAAAACGCTGGTGCGAACGAGTGGCACGAACGCCGCGCTATGGCGATGAGCACGTTATGCGGTTGCGGTCAACCGTCCAGCGGTAGCCATCCACCACATAGCGCACATGCCTGTCCATAGCTTGCCCTTCAACCCTCCCAGGCTTGAGGCTATGGGTTTGGGCAATGCTCGGTTCTTATTTTGGGAAAGATGGCATTATTGAAGCCTTGCACATAAGTAGCAGCGGATTATCCGGATGGAGACATACGCACGGCGCTGAGGCTGAGGAGGGTGAGGTGTTTGTACGTAATCGTGGCCACTCACCAACTTGTAAGTCCCAGAACTGTCGTCAGGGTCAGCGTCAGCATCAGCGTCAGCCATGAAGCACGCATGACATCGGCAATTTCGTTGGCGGGCGCCCTTGAAACAGCCGTGCGTTCTTTGTCTGCACCGCTAGGTTGTCTGGCTGTCACTCTGTCCCCCCCTGACGCCTACCTAATCCAGCACTACTCTTCCAGTCTTCGTATCTTACTAGACTCTGCTCTCCAAAGTCATTGATCCGATGTATTATCTTGGCCCCCGTGTCAGTAGAATCGTAGCGACGATGCGTGGGGTGGTACATTGAGGGATGGACGCTCACCGCCTGTGCGTTAACAGACTTTTTTTTTTTTTTTTTTTTTTTGGCAGTACGGAGTACGGGTAGCTCTGAAGTCGGTGGAAAGCCAAGATAAGCCAAGCCGAGAAGGCCGTTCCGTACCCGCCCGTATCCTTCCCATACTTTTACCGCAGGAACGGTACCTAAAGAGGTACGAAGAACTCAAGGTACCCCAAGGGAAACTCATCCCTTGCTCCTGGCCCCCCCTGACGACGATCACACAATGCAGCCAATTGGGACTAAAGGAGCAGGAGGCTGCTACATACCTCAGACTGCCTTGCACCGGCTCCTGGGGCATCTCTTGCACGTTACAGAGCACTCGTTGCCTCTTGCCCTCGCGTGCTGCTTCCATAAACCGCTGGTTCTTGCTCTGGATCCGTGACTGTCTTCCTTTACTGGGTATGTAAGCCAGAATCTACGGATACTGAACGTATCTCTCGTTGAGAAGGTGGTGCGCAGGTACGGCATATGCGGCACGCCATCTCATATCTCATGTGGTCTTTCGGTCTCCCACCGGCCCCTCAGTCTTCTATCGATAGAAATCCGTAAACAAGTCTATCATGTCAGAGAAAGACGCTGCCTCAGTATCTATCGCAGTAACAGACTACCGAATTCTTCGATCAAAGTTCATCCGCCAAGCAATGGACGGGCTCAACGCCAGGTTCGACATCCTCGTCCAAGTTGGACCGGTCCAGTCTCATAGACTGAATCTCAGAGCTCGTCAAGTTACCCAAGACGACTCCCAAAACATGCCGTTGCCTACGTACTCACACGCTGCCGTGCAGGCAGAAGGCGCATATCTGCGCCCGTCGTCTGAACAACTTGTCTTCGAGCATCCAACACCGGTGGCATCCATGCATCTCTTCTTCCCAAGTTCCCACCGCATTGCTCGTCACCAAAAGAAGGCAGCGTCCTGATGCCACACCTCGCATTGATGCCGTCTGCGTCACACCCCTGAACCTCAAGCCCGTTTCTCCATACTATGTATACATCCTTGGTATTTGAACCCTTCTCACACTTCTTAATCCTCCGCATATCCTCACTCCCCTGTCCACCTCCTAGTTGCCTTCCCTGCCCATCCTTTCCACCTCCCGCGGCCCCTTGTTCCCTCTCTGCCACTTCGCTTCGTCTGCGATTGATTTACTGCCAGGGGCAATTCGCTCGTCTCAGCCGGACTACTGCTGCTGCTGAACCTAGCATACCTACTCTGCCACTAGCCTACTATTAGCCTCAAGTTATTCTCCCTCTCGAGTGTCCATGTTTTCCGACACTTGATATAATCCGTCCTGTTCCCGCTGTTAACAACCAGTTTTTGAACTCAGTCTACTCGACCAACCAACATTTTCAATTCTCGCCATTCACTCGTTCACATACACTCCAGGCTGAGCCTCCAATATCCAACATCTACACCCAGATTCCTCAGCGTTGTCATCGAACTTGCACACTGTCACCTCCCACTCTCTCGATACTACCCACATTCACCAAGCTTTATACGTACCAAGGTGTCGGAAACGTCTCCTTCTCGTTCAAAATGCAGTCCTCCCGCTTCCAGTCCATCACCTCCCGCTTCTCTCCGAGCACACTCAGAACCACCTTCCGCCGCTCGTCATCAGCATCGTCCCGTGCCAGCAGCGACCGAGGCTCCTTTACTACCACGGCATCGTCTCCCGTCAGCACAATCAACAGCATCGTCTTCCGTCAGCCCTCGATGCTTGACCTCGAGGAAGAGCGCAAGAGCTTCGGAAGCGAGCTCAGCATTCTTGAGCCACGCCCTGTTCTCTACTTTGGCAGCGTCGAGGAGCGTATTGGATCACTATAAGCGCAAATATCACACTTTGGTCACATGTTTTTACGAACGGCGAAGACGATGGACTTTCGACACGCCATGATGTTTATGAGCCTCGGAGCTCTTGGGCCTGAATCAGATTAGACTGGGATCTGTTTTCAATGGGAAAGCTTGGAAACACAGGCGGCGTTTAGGAGTTTGGCTCCTGGTGGATAAGCCTAGAACAGGCGTCCTGGGAGACACTGATTTCTTTTACTGGCTGGAGGCCAGATTACCACTGTTAAGAAATCGCCATGATGCGATTACGATAGAGGAGCAGCTTTAAAAGCGACGCAACATGTTAACAGTCTGTTTTCATCTCTTCAAATCAACACAAATGACAAGCAAGCCCAGCGGTCTGGCAAAACCCTCAGTGAATCCGTGAATGAAGCTGACAGTATCCGATTTGACACTTGGTACATTACGTGTATTGTTAGTGACAACGTCTGATTCACCGTTGGAAACAACCCGATGCGAGATAATCCTGTTACCATAAAGAGATCTTCATGCACCTCCTTTAGCAGCTCACCAACCTAGCACTTTACTTACTAGCAGTGCCTACAGCCCTCCAGGGTAGAGAAGCGACTGATTTATTTACTTGATCAAATAAAGAAAAGCCAAGGCGACAGTTCCATCGCCTCAACGTCAGCAACTAGCGTAAGTCAGCAACACCTTCGGGAACCCTCAATCAAAACGGGCCGCCCGTCCTAACATCAATTCGAAACAGGCTATTTCAATACACTTTCACGCTTACCGAAAAGTCGTGAGCTATTGAGCTATCCAAAGCCAAAGACACCTAGACAAGCAAGTTGGAACACGTAAAAAGTCTTTGCTCAGAAAAAGAGAACCAATGTCCCAAGATACATCCTCGGGGGATAACCCCGTCCCGAAGTTGTGGTGGATCATGGTGGGCGGTAACAGCCTCGCTTCATCCCCATCTTGGAACCGATTTCTCTCCATGACAGCCGAACGGAACAAGGTAAGTCGGGACGCAAAGAAAGAGAAGACGGGTTTCAAGGAGGCTCAGAAAGCTGCGAAAGAAGAGCTTGAAAGAGCCAAGAAAACGTATAAGGAGACATTCGCCGGCGGAGTGACGGCCTGGAGGGAGCGGAGCCGTGGAGCAGAAACCACCGCTAACGGAACCGGAACTGGGACCGGTCCAGATCCCGAGCAGCGCACCGAGGAGACGACCACTGCTGGACAAAACAGGCCCGAGGGAGATGGCTGAGCGTCTACGAGCTTGGCTTAATAGCACGGCCGGTTCAACCCAGGGCGCCTCTGCTGCTACACGTGATAGTATATAGTTGTGACCGAAAGACTTGGATAATGGGCATGATCAGAAATGAAGCTGCGGTATCTTGGGAGAATGCGCCGGAGGCCGGCAACTCAACATGAATAGCTCTATGATACAAATACTATGACATACATTTACAGCAGGGGCATCGAGCGTCGTTTCAGGCTCGGTAAATGTCTGTTCGCGTCCGTCTACAGTCGGATCTCGTCGATGGACTAGCATGACTTATGAGGCCTTGCTTCTTCTCTTGCCCATGTTGCGTACTCTGGGCTCGACAACCCACTTGTTGAAGTTGTGCTTGCGACGGGTCTTGAAGCCGCCCTTGGCCTGTAGGATGTGTGTATCAGTAGCTGCGAGAGTATGAGGGGCAGCAGGGAGAAACGTACGGGAGTGCCCCATGGACTGGTAGGGTGGCGGTTACCCTTCGACTTACCACGACCACCACCGTGAGGGTGGTCAACTGTCACACGATTGTTAGTGTTTCCAATACGTAGAGGCAAGGTTGGTTACACGTACCGGAGTTCATGGCAAGACCACGAACCGTGGGGCGAATGTTGAGCCATCTGCTTCGTCCGGCCTTGCCCAATTGTCTGTACTGGTGGTGGGGGTTGCTAGCGACTCCAATCGTTGCGCAAGCGTCTTTGCTGACTCTGCGAATCTCGCCGCTCTGAAGACGAACGTTGATGTACTTGCCCGTAACAACCTTGGTACCGTCGTCCCTGGTCTCTTCCTCCTTGGAAACCAAGATTGCGTAGGTACCAGCACTGCGACAGAACACAGCACCGCCCTTGGCTCTCGAGCCGACGTTGAAGATAACAGTACCAACAGGAATCATGTGCATGGGCAAGCAGTTGCCTCTCCAGGCCGTTTTGGCTGCCAAAATACCGGGATCGACGACGCCACCCATGCTGTCAAGAAGGTCCTTGGGGATACCGGAACGGTAGCTGTGGACGACGTCGCCGGCACGCATACCCTCAGCAGCAACGATGTAGCTCTTGCGCCCGGTAGACTTGTTCGAGAGCAGCGCAATGTGAGCACTTCGACCCGGATCGTACTCGATGCGATCGACCAGATGCGGACCAGCCTGCCAGCGCTCAAAATCAACGGTTCGTATCCTCCTCTTCGCGCCACCTCCGTGATGTCTGACGGTGATCCTTCCAGAGTTGTTACGACCTCCCTTGCCGTGGCCCTTCTTGGGGTAGGTCAGTGGCAGGAAGGGTCGGCCCTTCCACAGGTGATCGTTGATCGGACGCTTCAGATGACGGACTCCGGGTGTTCGCGGCTTGTAGGTGCGCATAATTACGGAGTCGTTGTTTGCTTTCTCGATAGTGGGGGCAGTTGCGGCAGGCTCGCTGGATTTCGTGGCGGGCTTCTCGACGGACTTCTTCCTCGTGGCAGTGGCATATTGTCGAATCGCAAGCCCACGAAAGGCGGTCGAACCGAGGAGACTTGCGCAGCTCCTCTGAGCTGACAAGAGCATCATAGAGCGCGACATATTGGCATCAATGTGCGGTTATGAGTCCAAGTGAAGGCTCCCTTTTCTCGGGTCGGTTGGTTACGTTCAGGAGAAGCTGGACAGGCGCAGCATATCGCGTAAAGGGACGGCTCGGTCGGGGTGTAGTGGCTGCAGGATAGCGAAGACAACCCTGAGATAGGTCTCAATTGCTCAATTGTGCCCAGAACTATCCGAATTCGACCCTAATTGCTGTTGGGATACTCGTTGGGCGGGAATACAGTCCCTGTTGTCGTGATGGCTGAAGCGGCTCTATCAGGTACGCTTGAGGCCAGTGCAGATTTCGAGCTTTAGGAAATAATTATTCTGCCGGCGCCGATGAACTGACGTCCAGGAACGGAAGCCCAGTCATTGGCGGTACGTACTGAAGGGGCAGAAGCTTCAGCCACATTTAGTGGACCTGGGTGGCTGAACCCTCGGGTTAAGCCTCAGACGCCTCGACACGACCAGGCAGGCCGCCTCTGGAAGCGTGACGGGACGTGGTCGGGAAGGCAGCCAATGGTGCTCTGGTTGCCCCGCGGTTGCTGCTGTTGATTGCTATTGTGACCGGGGTAACTCCCCATTTTCCACGTCTTTTTTTGCAGTCTTCTCCATCAGCCAGCAGACCTTCTTTCGCGTGCAGCCGGGGCAATCGCGTATCCACCCTCACACTGCTTCCACTCTCGCTTGGCTACCACCACGATTCTCGAACTTCCTCATAAGCCTACGATTATCTCCGGGTTCAAGGCACTTTGATATTCCTGCTGCTCCTTTCGAGGTATCTTCAATCTCGCCCCAGGCAACCGACAACAGATACACATTCTCACTACTGTCACCGCTCAAGCTGCTCCTCCATCCTCAAGACAGCTTCTTATTCATTCTCATCCTCACTTTACCACAATCGAAACCATCACCACGGCATCATCCTTCTTGTCGCATACCGCACACATCCACCTTCTCACCAGCATTCCATCCGACCTGCTCGTCATAGCCAGCACCGCCAGGCCCTCTATTTGAATCACTCACGGCAGTGAATTTCTTCGATTCACTACCTTCAACCGCCACACACGCCCAGAGCTAGATATATCTGTCTAGCTCAGCTGTCCGGCCCTCATATTCTTCACCTGTTGCACACAAAGAAACCGAATTCTCTTATGAGATTTCACTGAGTCGCGACTACATCCTCAGCCATCGTTCACGACAAAGACACCCCCGACGCGACTTTTCCTTTAGCGAGAGTCAAGAAGCCACTCCCTGTCCGCCGTTCGCGTGTGCACCAACTGCACGCCTGTCTGCTTCAGATACGCTACTGTGGTGACCAAACCAGGGCCACCGCGAGCCGCGACTTGAAAAAATCGGTACGTACCTCCCAAAGCTGGCGGCTCTGGTCCCATTCACAATACGGTCCCCACTGCATACCACATCACGTCGATTCGTTCCCACTACCTCAGCAAAACACATCACACATTGATTGTCCTTTCACCTCCTCCCACATAAACAACCTCAGTTTTGCCCGAAGCCCAATCTCCTAATACCCCTACCTCTACCTCTGTATTGCACTCTCCTCCTTGGTCTCAGCATCTTTGCATCTTTGTCAATTGGCTCTTGGGACGCGACTGATCTCGCCCATCAAGTGTTTGGCGTCGAGCCTGAGCAAGCGTTTTGCCCGCGTTCGAGTCGCCCGTCATCATCATTCCCCAAGGTATGCATGTCTCGACCTTGCTCGCCTCTTTCCATTACCGCGCTGTTCCTCTTCCTCTTCCTCCAAGCATAAAGTTGCTTTATCCTATACTGTCTCTGCTTGGAACCTTACCTTTGAGGTGGCACCGGCATCTCGACGCGTCCCAATGCTAACCTTGACCTAATAGAATCCTACACCTCAGATACTCAACTTGACATACTCAGTTGACAAGATGCCCGTAAGTCTACTCGTGAATGCTTATCCTTGCAACACGTCCAGTAAGCTCTCGTCGCGTCGATATCGTGCTCACCCTTTCCTTCAGGTTACCCGTCCGGCGCGTGCAACACGCCTCGTTTCGAACGAGAACGATGAGAACAGCGGAACCACGCGCATGACGCGTGCTAAAGCAGCTGCACTAAGCGTTGACGAGCTCGCTGTCCCAGGAAAGGCTCTCGCCACGAAGAAGTCTGCAACCAACGCGATCCCGGCAGCTCAACGAACCAAACGCGCCGCCCTCGGCGACGTCA